CCACCGCCAGCTCCTTCGCAGAGAACTTCTCCACCACCAGCAGCAGCTTCGCCTACGACCGAGAGTTCCTGTGCACCCTGCCGGGGCTCCTGATTGTGGCCGAGATCGTGAGTGTCGGGCCGGGCCGGGCCGGGCCGTGGGAGGCAGGGGGACCTGGCAAGCTGGCGCTCCTTCAGCTCCGCCCACCGAGCTGGCTCCGGGAATGCTCTTGAGCTCAGCCTCGACTTTTTTGTAAAGTGTAAAACTCACAGCCAGGTTCTTTCGCCTTGGGTGCTTTTGGGGAGCGACGGTCGTGACCCTCAGGATGTCTGTTGCGGGAGGCTTCCCTGCTTGCTGCTTTCTTCCGAGGATGGTGGCCCGTCCCGGGAGCTGGATACTCGGTGGGCGTTCATTGATCTTGGGTGTCCGGAATGCCTAGGGCCTCCCTCACCTGATCTACACGTGCACGGGTCCCTGAAGACAAAGCTTTTCTCAAACTGACCCCTCCACAGCGCTGGGCTGGAAGGCAGTCTCACGTGCTAGGCCGATGCTCTACTCCTGAGCCGCACCCCCAGCTCTGAAAATTTCCCTAATGTTAGTTATAAAGGGCAGAAAATTTTCATTTTCGTAATTATCTTCCTGTAGTCAGACTGAGATGAATCAAGATTTCCCTGAATAAATTCTGAGAGTTTCAGCCTCTTTGAGACCCTAAGGGCTGCTGTACCCGTACCAGAGCACATCCTGGTGGGGGCTGGGCACGTGCCCGGGAGGGGGCAGGGCTTGTGCATTCTCTCCCTTGGAAGCCAGGCCTTCCGCCTGGAGTTCTGTTGACAACTGGTGGAGGCCACTGTCTATTGTCTTCGCCCTCTGCCATGGTGTCAAGTCCTGAAGAAGCTTCGGAGTTTGTGTGATTCCTGCACCGCTCCCTTGTGAAGGCGGTTGCAAATAAGTTCCTTTTACACGCGAGGAAACTGAGGCCCAGAGAGGGGGAGGAGTAACGTTTACCCGTGGTGGTGGAGCTGAGATTCAAACCGATGCCTGTCCTTTTCTTGGTCTCTGCTCCTACCTGAGGAGATTCGACTTAACACTGTTTCCTTTCTGTTGCATCTCCCGACCCAAGGAAGCATGTGTGGAATTGAAATCTAGCCCGTATGAAAGCTGCGGGGGGGGGAGGGGGTGGTCGTGCTGTACAGTGGCTGAGGACTTGGGTAGACCCTCTGAGAAGCCTTTATATATGGATCCTGGAAACTTGTCTCCAATCTCGGATCCCAAACCCACTGAGTCAGCTTCCAAGTGGTTTTTTTGCACAAAAGTTGGGAAAGTGTTGCCTTAGTTCATTTCCCAAGTGGTTGGCCCAGCCAGCCCTGAGGGTATCTGCAACCCTAATAAATGGCCCAAAGTATTGGACTCACCTTTCAAGGCCTGACGTTAAAGAGCTCAACAAATATTTGCTGAGTGAGTGAAGGGGTTGGCGAGCTCTCCTGCAAAGCAAATAGACGCCCAAGTGACTGAGCTGGGGCTTCTGCTGAGTGGGCCTGGACCACCACCATGTCTTGTTTTCTGATTTACAACCCACAAGTTTTCTGCTGCATACTTTTCCAGAAAATATAAGAGAAAAAAAAGAAACGTAAAGGATCAGTCATCCCATCACTAGGAGTAACTACTGTTGATGGGGTGTCATGGGTCTCTTTAGATTGCAGTGAGCTTTTTGAGAGAGATGGGAAACCTTGTGAATAAAATTATCCTCAGTATGTGTGTACATGAGCATGTGTGGGTATACTCGCTCATCCATTGTGGAGGCCTGGGAATGACATGGAGATGTCTCCTCTATTCTCCTCCTTCTTTATTTGGGAGGGGGAAGTGACAAGTGAAGGTCAGACGACAACCATGTAGTTCTTGGGGCTGAAAGCAAGTTGTCAGGCTTGGTGGCAAACACCTTTGTCCACTGAGCCATCTAACCAGCCCTCCACCTTCGTTTTTGAGATGGAATCTCACTGAACCTGGACATTTGGTGAGCCTTTGGGATCCACTTGGCATTATAGGCGTGTTCCACCACACCCAGACTTTTCTTGGGTGCTGGGGATCCAAACTCAGGTCCTTATGTTTGTGAAGCGGGCTCTTTATTCATTGATCCATCTCCCCAGTCTGCACCTGCCTTTGTTGGACAGAGCTAACTGTACCTGTTTTAAAAAGTCAAATAACCCTTCATTAAAGGCACATGCCTTTACTCCCAGCACTCAGGAAACAAAGGCAGGCAGATCTCCGAGTTCGAGGCCAGTCTGGTCTACAGAAGGAGTTCCAGGACATCCAGGGCTACACAGAGAAACCCTGTCTCGAAAAACCTAGATAAATAAATAAGAAATAATAGAGAACAAACCCCAATTCCCAGCATCTGTCATTCAGTTTGCTTGCCTGGCCTTCTGGGGGGAAGGGGAGTGGCTGCCACTCAACCTCACACTCAAGGCTCTGCCATGGTAACTCTTATGTTGAAACCAAATTACAGGGGTTTCTTCCTTTTACAGTTTTATTACAAGCTAGCAACAGCCCAGTACTTGACCTGTGAGTTGTAGGATGCTGCAATCTTGTAACTATTACAAGCATTTGAGACTGAATCAAAGTGATTGCAACAATCTCAGTTAATTGAACCCTTCCTGTTATTGGTGACTTTCAAATGAATTATGGCATCCATGTAATAACATTTAAGTCCCTTTTTATTTACTTAACTGTCACAAGCTAACTTGGCTGAGGCAGCACAGGTTGGGTGGACTGGGGACTGGGGACTGGGATCTAAATAAACAATCTTGTCACCTCAAAAGAGTGAGCAGTTTCCGAGTCACAGAAGTCTTTGAAGAAAATCAGAAAAAGGCCAGTGCAATTAAAGAAACTTTAAAAGGGTGAACTATTGCTGCCCACAGTGTTCTTCCAGGCAGCACCCTTCCACATCTTCAAGTGTGATGGTCATAGTTAGTGCAGGGGATTCTGCTGCTTGGCTAGAGCCCCATGCCGGTTAGGGATGCCAAATGTCTTCAAATGTGAGGAATAGTTCCAGCACAACCTGCTGTAGGCCTACTGTTCGTGGTTTAGCATTCTTTTTTTGTTTGTTTTTTGGGGTTTTCTGTTTGTTTTTGTTTTTATTTTATTTTATTTCGAGACAGAATTTCTCTATGTGGCAGCTTTGGCTGTTCTGGAACTCGCTTTGTAGACCAGGCTGACCTGCCTTCCTTCTTCCTTCCTTCCCTCTCACCCTCCCTCCCTCCTTTCCTTTTGAATATGGAACAATTCATGAATTTGCGTTGTTATCTTTGCAAAGGGGCCATGCTAATCTTCTCTATATCATTCCGATTTTAGTACCTGTGCTGCCCAAGTGAGCATGTGTCGTGTCGTTTCTTGATGGCACTGAATACTTTTCTCATATAATTAGTGACTTTTTTTAAAGATTATTTTCTTTTTAATCCTGTGCATTCACCCATGTCTGTGAAGGGGTTTGTGTACGAGGGTAGCCAGAGGCATCAGATCTCCTGGAGCTGAAGTTACAGGCAGTTGTAACCCATCCAGTGTGGGTGTTGGGAACTGAACTCTGGTCCTTTGCAAGAAAAGCAAGTGCTCTTAACCACTGAGCCATCTTCCCAACCTGCTGTGTGTATTCTTAAACTTTTATTCTTCTTTCCCAATATTATAGGATGTGCTTTAATCATATTTGCTCCTCCCTTACCCCCCTTTTCTTTTTTTTTCTTCATTCTTATTCCTCCCCCTCTCCCCCCCTCCCCTTGTTTTGTGAGACAGGGACTCACCATGTTGTTCTGGCTACGCTGAAGCTACACTGAAACTGTGTTGATCAGGCTAGCCTAGAAGTAAGAGATCCATCCACCGGTGCCTGTCTCGTGAGTTTTGGGATTGGGATTAAAGTCATGGTCCATCATGTGTGTCCCACTTACTCTATTCCATTGTTTTTAAAAATCATCCTTTATTATATGATTTCTGACAAACTTGCTTTTGTCCTTTTAAAAAATATTTATCTTGCTGGGCATTGGTGGTGCACGCCTTTAATCCCAGCACTCAGGAGGCAGAGGCAGGTGGATCTCTGTGAGTTCGAGGCCAGCCTGGTCTCCAGAGCCAGGGCCAGGACAAGCTCCAAAACTATACAAAGAAACCCTGTCTCGAAAAACCGAACTGGAGTTATAGTTGTGGGTGGTCATATGGATGCAAGAGCAGCCCTGCTCTGTGTTTTTTGTTTGTTGGTTTTTTCGAGACAGGGTTTCTCTGTATAACAGTAGTCCTGGCTGTCCTGGAACTTGCTTTGTAAACCAGGCTGACCTCAAACTCACTGAGATCCACCTCCAGATTCCTACTGTTGTATATGTGTTTGTTTCCTTCTTTGAACAACATTGTTTGTTTGTTTTTCAAGACATGGTTTCTCTGTGTAGCCTTGGCTGTCCTGGAACTCACTCCGGAGACCAAGCTGTCCTTGAACTCTCACAGGTCCACCTGCCCCTGCCAGCCAAGTGCTGGGATTAAAGGTGTTGCACCACCTGGTTTTGAGCTACATTTTAACAAACATCCTTAAGGCTAAATGAAACTCTCTGGCTGGGTAGTGGTTGTGGTGCATGCCTTTGATCCCAGCTCTAGGGAGGTAGGGGCAGGTGGATCTCTGAGTTCAAGGACAGCCTGGTCTACAGAGTGAGTTCCAGGAAAGAATCTGTCTGGATCAGTTTACTCTTAGAGTACTGAGAATCAATTTTAAAGGATGAGGGCATGGTGGTGCCTCATGCACTTCATAAGGGGTGCCTGTGTGAGCATGGATAAGGGGTTATTTACTTAGCAAGGACAGCGTGCCAGGGACTACACCACCGAGGAACAGGACTCCCCTCCCCAGCAAATATTAACTACCTGTGGCTCTTTAGGGAGGTGTGGGGTCTTGGGCAGGTCTCAAGCAATCAGCCAGCACGGCCGTGAGTTTGTGGGTCCAGAAGTCATGTCACACCCAGGAGACAGACAGCATTCACAGCTCTCCTCCCCACCCTCCAGCTCTTAGTTCCTGCCCCTCTCCTGCTAGTCCCTGAGCCTTAGAAGGGGTCAAACAGATGTCCCATGTAGAGCAAAGCATTCAACTAATCACTTAGCCACGGCGCCTTGACCAGTTATGAGTCTCTGCATTAGCCGTCACTCACAGCAAATAGAAGGCTCCCAGACCCAGGCTGAGGGCAACACTAATTTATGGATATATCCAGAAATATTTGGGAAGTATGATGCCATTGTCTGTCCATTTGGCAAAGTAACAATAGTGCCCCCCTGGTGGGTGGGAGGGTTATGTCCTCCCTGGCCATGATATGGCCAGGTTTACAGTACCAGGCATGAATCCCTAGCTTTACTGAGATCTGACTCATTTGTAAAGTTGACCTTTTATTAGGTGTACAATTCAGGGGATCCTAGGTGATTATAGGTTTGGACAAATTGTCCCCATTAGCTAATTAGGACTTCACTTCATTAAGGGGCATTGCACCTGCTAGTAGTCACTCCCCAGTCTTCCGTTCTTCGGCCCCGGGGAGTCATTAACCCACTTTCTATCCTTGTGGATTTGCCTGCTCTGCACATTACATGTGAAGGGGGTTCTGCCCCACATGTGAAGGCTGTCGCTTAGCATCATGCATCCAGGAATCACCTGTGCAGTCCATAAAATGCTTTCAGCACAGGCGTGAGGATCTGAGTTCAGATCCCCAGCTCCCACAAAAAAGCTGGGAGAGGTGGCGAGCACCTGTAACCCCGGTGCTAGGGAACGGAGACAAGTGGACCACCAAGCTTACTGCCCGATGATGAGCCCCAGGCCCAATGAGAGGCACTGTCTCAAAAACTTAGGGTGTGAAGCAATAGAGGAAGACATCTGAAGTCAACCTCTGGCTTCTACATGTGTAGGCATGGGTGTGTGGACCTGCAGGTACATGCATACTATACACACACAAGCATGTACACATACACTCACCAACAGATAGCAAGACACACACATTCTGTAGAGTATGTGAGTATTTTATTATTTCTGTCATCAAATGCTATTCCATCCCATTGATGGGTACATAATTTGGTTTATGCATTCACCAGTTGGCAGGCATTTGAGTGGCTTCCATATTTGACCACTGTGATGAATACTACCGTGAATCTTCTGCGAAAGACATGTTTTTGTTTGTTTGTTTGCTTTGCTTATTCTTTTGGGCATTTAGCTGAAGAAATGGAATCACGTAAGGTGACCAGTTCAATGTCTTGAGACTTCAGTAGACTCTTTCCAAAGCAGCTGGACTGCTTGTGTGCCAGCAAGGATATGAGGCTTTCATTTCTTACCAGGATGTACTGATTCTAGTTATCCTGTTGGGTGTGAAGCATTGTGGGTTTGGTTTGCTTTAAATCCTTTGCCAATTTTTTTAGTCGGGCGGTGGTGGCTCACACCTTTAATCCCAGCACTCGGGAGGCAGAGGCAGGCGGATCTCTGTGAGTTTGAGACCAGCCTGATATACAAGAGCGAGTTCCAGGACAGCCTCCAAAGCCACAGGAAAACCCGGTCTCGAAAAACCAAAAAAAAAAAAAAAATCCTTTGAAGCTTTATTTTTAATTTTATATATCAATCCCAGTTCCCTCTTCCTCCCTCCTCTCTTCCCAATTCTTCTTCCATCTTACCATCACCCCCCACACACCCGCTTCCGCCCCTCAGAGAGGGTATGGTCTCCCATGGGGAGCCAACAAAATCTGTCCCATCACCACGCTGAGGCCTGATCACAGCTCTCCCCGATGTGACTGGGCTGAGCAAGGTATCTCTATAGGGCTCAAAAAAGTCAGTTCATCCACTAGGCATAGATCTTAGTCACACTGCCAGTGGCCCCACAAACTGCCCAAGCCACCCACTGTGACCTGCATTCAGGGTCCTGTGCAGGCTCCACTGCTGCCAGTCTGAGGTTGGTGAGCTCGCACTAACTCAGGTCAGCTGTTTCCCTGGGTTTCCCCATCATGGTCTTGACCCCTTTGCTTATATTATTGCTTCTCCCTCTCTCTTACTGGACTCCAGGAGCTTGACCTAGTGGTTAGCTATGGATCTCTGCTCTGCTTCCATCAGTTACTGGATGAAAAATTCTTTGCCAATTTAAATATTAATTTTGTGTGTGTGTATGTACGAGTGTGTATACTGTAGGCAGGCATGTTGTTGTGTTTCTACAACTTCTAATGTCCACCTTATTTTGAGACAGGGTCTCTCTTTGGCCTGGAGCTTGTACAATAGGCTATCCTGGTGGCCACTGATCCCCAGGAATCCTCCAGTCTCTGCCTTCCCTCATCTGGGATCACAAGCAAGCATTACTAAAGTAGACTTTTTTTTTTTCCCCCCCTAAATAGAAATCCTTATAGCTGGGAGTGGTGAAGCACGCCTTTGATCCCAGCAGAGTCAGGGGGGATCTCTTTGAGTTCGAGACCAGCCTGGTCTACAGAGAGAGTTCTAAGACAGCCAGGGCTACACAGAGAAATCATGTCTGAGTGTTTACAAAGCAAGCATTTTACTGACTGCACTATTTCCCCAGACCTGGTTTGCTTTTTGTCAGGAGTTCTGTCTATAACCTGCTATAAGTTCCTCAACACATCCACACATTGAAAACTTTTCTCCCATGCCATGAGTTGATTTTTTTTCACTTTTCTCGATAGTGCTCTTGGACACGCACAGCTTATTGTGATGACATCCAGTTTTCCATTTCTTATCCTTACAGAGTTATTTCTTTTTTATTTTATGTGTTTGAGTGTTTTGCCTGCATGTATGTGTGTGCACCATGTGGCTGCCTGGTACCTACCTACAGAGGTCAGAAGAAGGTGTCAGAGCCCTTGGAAGTGGAGACAGGTGACCACCAGGTGGGTGCTGGAAACTGGACCGGGGTGCTCTGCGAGAGCAGCCAATGCTGACAACCACTGAGCCATCTCTCCAGACCCTGTTTTGTCATTTCCAGGAAATCTTTGCCTGATTAAGTCATAGGCATCACCCCTGTGTTTATTCCCCATTAGTTTTATGGTTTTAGACAGTACATTTATGTCTGTGATCCACTTTGAAATTTTTAAATATAGTTTGTGGTAAAGATTTCACTTTAGAGCCGGGCGTAGGTGGCGCACGCCTTTAATCCCAGCACTCTGGGAGGCAGAGGCAGGCGGATCTCTGTGAGTTCGAGACCAGCCTGGTCTACAAGAGCTAGTTCCAGGACAGCCTCCAAAGTCACAGAGAAACCCTGTCTCGAAAAACCAAAAAAAAAAAAAAAGATTTCACTTCAGTTTTTTGCATACAGCTGTCCAGTGGTCCCAGCACTTGTTGACAAGCTGCCTGCCTCGGCAGAGATGCAGCGTTTCTAATGTGACCT